CTCTCACTCTTTGTGTGTGTGTCTTTCTCTCTCTCACTCTTTGTGTGTGTCTCTCTCTCTCTCTTTGTGTGTGTGTCTTTTCTCTCTCTCTCTTTGTGTGTGTGTCTTTCTCTCTTCACCTGTGTGTGTGTGTCTTTCTCTCTCTCACTCTTTGTGTGTGTGTCTTTCTCTCTCTCACTCTTTGTGTGTGTGTCTTTCTCTCTCTCACTCTTTGTGTGTGTGTCTTTCTCTCTCTCACTCTTTGTGTGTGTGTCTTTCTCTCTCTCACTCTTTTGTGTGTGTGTGTGTGTCTTTCTCTCTCTCTCTTTGTGTGTGTGTGTGTCTTTCTCTCTCTCACTCTTTGTGTGTGTGTGTGTGTGTCTTTCTCTCTCTCACTCTTTGTGTGTGTCTTTGTCTCTCTCTTTGTGTGTCTCTTTTTCTCTCTCTCTTTGTGTGTGTGTTTCTCTCTCTCACTCTTTGTGTGTGTGTGTCTTTCTCTCTCTCTTTGAGTCTCTCTCTCTGTCTTTGTGTGTGTGTGTGTCTCACTCTCACTCTGTCTGTCTTTGTGTGTGTGTGTGTCTCACTCTCACTCTGTCTGTCTTTGTGTGTGTGTGTGTCTCACTCTCACTCTGTCTGTCTTTGTGTGTGTCTCACTCTCACTCTGTCTGTCTTTGTGTGTGTGTGTCTCACTTTGTCTCTCACTCTGTCTGTCTTTGTGTGTGTGTGTCTCACTTTGTCTCTCACTCTGTGTGTGTGTCTTTCTCTGTGTCTCTCTCTCTCTCTCTCTTCACACTCCCATAGATAAATCTATAATCTCTACACTGCCTCTCACAATCAGTGTATGCGATGTCCCCCTTTCAACAAAATCGCCATTTAATAGATTACTTGGCTTAAAGCTCAAGATTCCTTTCTACCACATCATCTGACAATATTAACGTCAGTCACCACTGTGAAAATATATCCGTCGACTAAAAACTCTTGTCTGAAATCAGGGGGAGGGGTAAAATCAGGTGACATAGCATTCGTCGGAATCAGACCATATCTGATGACGTCGACTGATCTTACCCGTGAGATAAGTGTCAACTTAATGTAAGCCTCGAATGCTATAGACATCAATGTTCCAACACCGTCATAATTTCCGGTACAGTCATTTTAGAGAACTTTAAACATAGCAGTTTACTAAAAAAATAATGTAAACATTAATGCATATAAGTGTAATCACCATCCTCTCAGTCCGATCTTTTGTCTTTCTTAAAGACGTAAAAGAAATTAATAGATCTTTTATCCGGCATTTTATTATCGTCTGATCCTCGTGTTTTTATATATATAATTATATTATTATATATATATATATAATTATATATATATATATATATATATATATATATATATATATATATATATATATATAATATATATATATAAATAAATTTTTTAAAATACACGGTAATAACCATGTTTCAAAAACTGAAGCTAAAAACTTCAAATTTAATTATATAATTAAAAGCATTAGTGCAGTTTCATCTTTAAGCGAATTTTGGAATATTTATGCTCTGTAAATTTACATTGAGCACTGTTTTATAAAAATAAAATATCAATAAGAACACCGGATTATATATATCTTACTGTTCTTATATATATATATATATATATTATCCCTACATTCATCTATGCAGACACTTCGTTAAAAAAAAAAATACTTCACATTTTCCGTACTCTTGTTACTACCTCAATGTAACTTACTACGATGGCTCGTGGCACATCTTGCTCTCTATCCCGTAAACCACTTCCACTAAATCTGCGCCATCTTTGTTAATTTGAAATTTCGCTTACATATTAACCCCTCCACTTTCCAGTTTCCACCTGTAATTATACTTAATAAAGCCCTTCACCTTTTTAAAATAGGCTAATTGGATAAACACTTGTGTTTAATGAAGCACAGAATGAGGGCGTTAATTTGTTTTTTCTTGAAGACTTTTGCATACCACGTCTAACGATTGAACTTATTGCCATGAACATTTCATTGCATATTTTTTTTTTTTTTTTTTTTTCATAGAAAGGAACATACTGTAATATATAGTTACTCCTCACTTAACCCCGTCCTGGCTAAGACGATAAACTACATCCAGCAGCAAGGCCTCTGATCAGGTGATTTTTGAAGAGCTTGGAACCACCTCTTAATTGCTAAATAGTTAACACCCAAACTATTTTTGGAAAAAAGTTTTTACCGGGAATAAAAATCTTGTCTGCATTAAATAAACCATTGACGCTGATATGCCGTAAAACAAACCAACAAACCAAACTCGCTTAACGACTGGAATTCGTCCTAACGACGTGGTCGCTAAACGAGAAATTGTATCGGACTACTGTTTCAAGTAAATTAAAGGTGTAATTGGTTTGTTCACCAGCTTCAATGTCCCTTCTGCACCATTTGTAACACTTCTATTTTATTTCTAAATGTTTATACAGTAGAGTAGTGTACTGAATAGTGAAGGTAATAAATTAACCATAACCACTACAATGTTAACCAAGTTGTATGCCATAAAATACGGTAACTTGCCCTTTTTTTTTTTTTTTTTTTAATATACAAACTTTTCTGTATGGATCTGTTTTGCAGGACCAGCGTCAAAACATAATGCACCATTTGACTGGAGCGGCTGAACATCATCACTTAATTCTTGTTAATGAAATCACACGGTTGGAACATAGGCTATTGAGTGTACAACATGAGTTTACCAACCACTTGTTGGCCTCTCACGAAATCCAAAACAAACTGCAAGATATACAAAGGTAAGTACTTTCTCTGCAATTTCAAGAATTGTACTCCAGTGTAGAGGCGCTTGTTTCTTAATATTACTTTAATAAAATCTTATCTTTATCTGCTAACCATGGGTTGTTGCTAGACAAGTTAGCCCTTGAGACAGTTGTCGATTGCATTCAAATTGTGCCTATGTTTATTTTTTTCAATGCTAAATCTAAAAAATTAATACATTTATTTTATAATACTAGAATTTTATGCAACACACTGACGCGTTTTGAAATCAATATTTAGTATTGCTTGAGTTATAGCTAACATTTTTGAGATTTTATCAAGTCTACTTCTCAATTTCGTAAACCAATCGATGAAATTTAAATAAGCTGATTTGTTTGGAAAAAAAATACTTTCACACAAACCTTACTTTGCGGTTTAATAATCTTAATTTGATAGGATTCATGGTAAACAATATTAAAAAAAAATTTTTTCCACTTTAACAGCGAAAAATATTTTTTTTTTTTTTTTTTTTTTTTTTTAACTCTTACTCTTGAGCATACAACATACAACTGGCCAGGCATAAATATTTCTTTCTGGAGCCAAATTCCAACTTTTTGAACCGTTTGGTCGTGGATTTGTTTATAGTTCTCGCAACCACGGGGAAAACTGGATTCTTGTATATTAGAAACTTAAGATATTTAATAGAAATGCAATATTTGTTTTTATTTATTTATTTATTTATTTTTTTTTTTTTTGCATAAGTATATTTTAATCATTAATTTTTTTAAAATAGTATTTTGTATGTTAAATACTAAAACTTAATTTTCTAAAGAAATTAATGAAAATTTCTTGTACTACGCACCTTTTTAGTAAAACCATCTGTACTTTGTATCCCTTGACCTGTTTGCACTTTTCCGAAAAACCTTGGTTTCGATCGTTCAATGTATATCTATTTTAGAGGGTGTGACGGACTAACAGAAGTCACAGAATTTTATATATACACTAGCAGTAGAGCCCGGCGTTGCCCGGGGATGTAACAGTAAGAGATAGATCAAATATCGACCATCATAAAGACTGAAAAATAAAATTGACAAAGATTATTGTTTAAGGTTGACGGACACGCATGACTTAATTAGTTTTGTTTTTTTTGTCTTTTTTTTACGAATTGGTAAAACCCAACTCAAACAAACTCATTGTTTTCAATCGTTATGAGTCTATCGATTGAATAGAATTTTATTATAAACAATTGTCTTGTAAAAGGAATTTTTAAAGCATTCTGAATGTAAAAATAAAGAAAAAAGTGTGCAAGACAATAAGAAACACTACCTGCCAAAAAAGTGAAGTTTTGTTGAAATCTGTTGAAAAATGTAGGAAATCCGATCCCATATATAAACGAACACACACACACACACACAATCTGGGTTTTATAATAAGTATAACTCTATATGAGTTGTCCCCCTTTCATTCTCGTGACAGCGATGACTCTTAATCGTGTTTTCAAATTGATTTCGTGCAAAAAAAATTGTTTTTTTTTTTCCAATTTTTGACACTGTCAGAACCACCTCAAGGTAATTTTACGTAGCCCTGTGAAGTTTTGTTGAAATCTGTTGAAAAAGTAGGAAATCCGATCCAATATATAAACGAACACACACACACACACACACACACACACACACACACACACACACACACACACACACAAAACTTGGGTTTTATAATAAGTATGATGGTGTTTCAAAAGTCGCATTACCATTTGATAACCTTGTAAATTTTTATTTACCAAATGGATTTTTTTGTGTGTGTGACAATATATTAAATTTTATGGGTCGAATTATGGAAGAAGACATGCAAATTTTCCCTGGTTGCTATTTCACAAATGTATGTTTTCTGCCAATTGAAGCGTGACTTGAAACTCCCTGTAGACCAAATTGCATAAAACATTAGTATTTGGTGGGGGTCTTCACAAGTATTGCCATATAAACTATAGCAGAATTTCTTTCTATGTCCTTTCAGGACGTAGGCGATCATGGCTCTCCACCTCCCTCTCTCCTATTTTATTTGCCAATTAAATTTATTGACTGTTCGTACTATTTCTGTTTTTAAGAAAAAAAAAATCTTAAATTCGATTTCTTGAACAATTGAAAGAATAAATTATTTTTGTCTCTATTCCAGGACTGTCGGAATGAAAGACACTGTCCAGAAAATCTTTAAAGAAAATTATTTGGGCTGCATCTTGTGGCAGGTGGATATAACCTTGACAAAAACCCGGATGTTTCATAGCCCGTCATTTTACACCGCTAACCCCGGCTACAGGGTCAGTGCAAGCCTCGACTTCACCAGCTTCCAGGACGATTTTGATGCTTTCGTCTCTTTTTCTCTGACCATCGAGGATGGCAAATATGACGAGTTACTGTCTTTTCCTTTTTCCGGCCTCTGTCAAGTGACCGTCTTCGATCAAAGCGAGAACTACGCAAAGAACAACCACTCCGTTTATATCCTCTGCCACGCAATTCCTCGCTTTTCTAGACACGCAGAAAAGGCCTCGTCCCGAGATTATAAAACTTTCATGAAAGCCACTGACTTTCTCAGTGATCGATACGCCAGAAACGGAACTGTGTTTATAGAAGTGAAAGTTATGCAAGCTGTTTTCTCTCAGTCAAAAACGGCTTAAACAAATATAAACATTCTTTCTCTCTTTGAGTAGGATAGTTACAAACGTGTTCAGAACGAAATACTTTTTCTTTATTTTTGAAGTCTTAATAGATATACAACTGCTTGCAAAATTTTGCTGTTAAATTATAAAGTATAGTTAACTACATATTATTTTAATAGTGGTAGATTAGTTAGTTTTAATAAGACCGTAGTTAAACCCGGAAAATTACGTGAACATTTTTGCTTGTTTCTAGTCTAGTATGATTAACCTATGTTTGCAAACGCAGCCACCTGTTACAAATGACACATTGAATATCCATAACGTTTTAAGATTTCACAAGTCTAAATGCCATTTGTAGATAATTTACTTGCTTTTTAGGGGAATAACTTGCTTTGTATTTTAAAAAATGCAAATCTTCAATTTTGTTTCTAGTGGCGGCCATCTTTATTTCTCTCTGATTTAAGGCGGGACAATTGACTTCAATTTTTTTTTTTTTTTTTTTTTTTTTTTTTTAGAGAGATGAACGTATCCCCTTGTTTTTGAGCAAGTACTGTATATATACTTCACTTCGTCTGTCATACCCAAATTTTCAATTTTCTTAATGCTTGAATTTTTATTTCTTTTACTTTTTAAAATCTTATTGTATGTGCCATTGTTCCCTATGTGCCATCCAGACCTATAACCTCGATAGGTTTCAAAATGTTTCTATCCCATTTTTTTTCCGGGGCTGGAGGGGCTGTAAAACTTTATAGGGAAGTTTAATCTTTAAATTGATTAGTAGTTAAACAAATGTGCACATTTTAATTTTTTTTTTTTTTTTTTTTTTTTATCTACCGTCGTAAAATTCAACGATGTAGTTTTTTTTTGTCTCCTCCCCCTTCACTTTACTCAGACACTAACTTTCAGTCTATAATGATTCTTTTATTAGGCAGGCTCGTCTTGCCAGCCATTGCTAATTCAATATCAGTTGGTGACCCAAATCCTTTGATATGATACACCCTTTGTGGGCTTAGAATACCTACATAGTCAAGTGGGCAGTATTAAAGACAGCCAACAGTAAAATCTTGTTGTGACCTCTCGGAAGCCACCATCCGCTGTCCACAAATAGAGAACGGATTAAGCAAGAAAGAACTTTCGGGATAAAGTGCCACTCAATCGGAAGGTAGGAAATCGGGTCATGGGCCTATATAGTCAAGCTATATTCTGGCATGGTCGAAGTAATCTGACATAACTGGTCGAGAGTGGGGGCGATAGAAGACCTGCCAGTTATAGTGCTCACGTGGAGCCAGTCATGTGCTGTCCATTTTGATATTTAGAGTTGCAGGGACAGTCGTGGAGTGTCAGGTTCCTGCAAGTTCTGAAAAATCTCAAAATTCTCAATACAGGCAAAGCATATGTCCGTCATAAATATCCTTGCAGTTATTTCTTCCTCATGACGGGGTAGGGTTCTTGATGATTTTTGCTTCTAACCCTACATTAGATAAGGACCCCCCCCCTTTACATAACTTTCCTTTCTTCGCAGAGCACAAATTTCATAATCTCTCTCTCTTTCTCTTTCTTTTTTTTCTTTTTTCTCTTTCTTTTTTTTCTTTCTCTCTTTCTTTTTTTTCTTTCTCTCTTTCTTTTTTTTTTCTTTCTCTCTTTCTTTTTTTTTTCTTTCTCTCTTTCTTTTTTTTTCTCTCTTTCTCTTTCTTTTTTTTTCTCTTTCTCTTTCTTTTTTTTTCTCTTTCTTTCTTTTTTTTCTCTCTTTCTCTTTCTTTTTTTTCTCTCTTTCTCTTTCTTTTTTTTTCTCTCTTTCTCTTTCTTTTTTTTTCTCTCTTTCTCTTTCTTTTTTTTCTCTTTCTTTTTTTTCTCTTTCTTTTTTTTCTCTTTCTTTTTTTTCTCTTTCTTTTCTCTTTTCTTTTTTTCTTTCTTTTTTTCTCTTTCTTTTTTTTCTCTTTCTTTTTTCTCTCTTTCTTTTTTTCTCTCTTTCTTTTTTCTCTCTTTTTTTTCTCTCTTTCTTTTTTTTCTCTCTTTCTTTTTTTTCTTTTTTTTTTTTTTTCTTTTTTTTTTTTCTTTTTTTCTTTTTTCTCTTTTCTCTCTTTTCTCTCTTTTTTTCTCTTTTTTTCTTTTTCTTTTCTTTCTTTTTCTTTTTCTTTTCTTTTCTTTTTTTTCTCTTTTCTTTCTTTTTCTTTCTTTTTTCTTTTCTCTTTTTCTCTTTTTTCTTTTTTTCTTTTCTCTTTTTTTCTTTTTTCTTTTCTTTCTCTTTTTCTTTCTTTTTTCTTTTTTTTTTTTTTCTTTTTTTTCTTTTCTTTTTTCTCTTTCTTTTTCTCTCTTTTTCTCTCTTTTTCTCTTTCTTTTTCTCTTTCTTTTTCTCTTAGCCACCGGTCCAGACAAAATCCCAGTGGGTGTTCATAACATCATCCCTGAGTGATCTCCAGTACTGGCAAAACTGTTCAAATGCGGGAGATGCTTCCCAAGTATATAGAAGATTCTCACTGTGTGCCTTGTTTTTAAGAATGGGTATTTGACTTCCAATTCTCAGCTGTTATCCATTACACCATCTGCAAATGCAAACTTACAGCACTCGGTATTCCTAAGCAGTTGCTCATCTAGGTACTGGCCAGACTTGATATTGCTTAACTTTGATGATCATGAAAGAACCTTTTTTTTTTTTTTTTTTTAACATGATATAGCTGTAAGCTGTTAATAGATTTTACCAAAATAAAGCACCAGTCACATAATTATAGCAAAATCTCTAATGGTAACTCTAAGAAAAACATACATGGTATTATGTAAAGGTCCAAATATCCAAGATAAGCAGCGAACATGTTTATATCTTTCATTAATTTTCAATCTTGCAATGATTCCAATTGAAAACTTCTTCATCCAATCACAAGAATATTGGCAATAAAAGTCCTGTTAATCTGTTTTTGGTTTCCCCAGGGTGGAACATTAACATTCCTGCTTTTGTCAGTTTCTGCTATTTTTTCTTTTTTCTCCCCCCCCCCCCGCTATGGTATTTTCCTTGGATCGAGGTGTTTTTAAATTAAGACGTAATGTAGGAGAAACATCCAAAGCTGGGAAAATGAGAACTTTAATGCTTTCTTGGTTTCATTTAGGAATATTCACATGTGATTAAAGTCTGGAACTTACAGCTGTATCACGTTGAAACAACAGTCCTTGTATAATCACTGAAGTTAAGCAATGTTGAGACTGGTCAGTATCAAGATGGGTGACTGTTTGGGAATGCCTGGTGTTCTATCCTTGGATTTGCTTGTTTGATTTTGTTTAGTAGCATATCAACACATCTATGGGTTAATACCAAAATTTAAATATTTCAAGCACAATTACATGCCTTCAACTACAGATAAAATGTATTGTTGGTCATTTTGCTTTAAAATTGTATCAATAGATGTTAAGTTTTATATTTAAAAAATGCATTGCTGGTATTTTTACTATAAAAATGTATTTTTATACTTTCATAATTTTTTTTTTTTGTTTGTTTTTTTTTGTTTTTTTTTTTTGTGTGTGTGTGTGTGGGGGTTACTATTTACCCATAGCTGGAACCCTAGTTAAACAAGGTTGAGCCTGGTCAGTACCAAGATGGGTAACTGCTTGGGAATACCAGGTGTTGTAAGCTTGGATGCGTCTTCAGGAAGTGCCTCAAATCTATTATCAATGAGAGGGTTATTGAACGCCAATAAGAACCACCTGAGCGATCGCCAGTATGGCTTTTGACTTACTCACACGGATGTCTCAACTATTATTAGTCATAGACTCAGTAAGGCACTAGATAATAAACCCATCACGAGGACCATTTGTCTTAGATATATCAAAGGCCTTTGACAAGGTGTGACATCAGGGGCTGCTACATAAACTCTCCGGCCATGGATTTTCTTTAAGGGCGTTCTTGATTATAAAGCCCTTCCTGAAGTTCATTGCTAATGGCCAATCATCGGAAGCCCATCAGATTATTGTTCTCTCCTCGGTCCTATCCGCTTTCTACAGTATATTATTAACTTGTATAAGAGCACATACTGATCCTTAGTGACCATCCCAGCTGATGATGCAACAAAGAATTTTGGGATTAAGTGCTACTCGATCGGAAGGTAGGAATTCAGGTCATAGTTCTGTATAGGCAAGCTGCACTAGCTTCTCTAGTGAGTATCCGATTCGCTATACTCTTTACAAGAACCAGAAATAGCGTATTGCTGCCATGTCTGGGTTGTGGGTAATTTTTTTTTTTTTTTTTTTTTTTTTTTTCCAATCCTACAATTTCTTTCCCGGAAACGAAATGTCGCGAGTCTCTCGCTACTCTATGGCTATTTCCATGGCATCTTAGTCCCACTATCTCTGACCTTTACAACTGGGACCCACCATGCCACATACACAAGGGTGAATCACCCCTTTCATATTCCATTAGGAAGTTCCACTGAGACAATATTATTGGTCCTGTAAGGCGCTGTAGTCAGTTTCGTCGTGCTAGAACTAAAATTCCAGTTCAGAAATTGATGTCACAGATTACTTCCACAATGAAGAAAACAAATCGCAAGTCCAAACTCGAATATCAAGGGCAGAAAGATACGTCGAAATCTTGATTCGCAGGTACTGTCACAAATCACAATGCACGTAGCCAGTCAGAAAAATAACACTTGCCAACAAACGTGATAGCCAAATACACGAATTTCTCCTCAATTCAAGAACGCCAATTGCTTTTATCGACCGTGCATATTTTTTTTTTCTTCATCAACTGCTGGGAGAGGACACCACAATATTAGCATATCCGAAATACTTTTATGGCAACGCCTGTGAATGACTTGTTACTAAATTGGACATTCCGTCTTTAGCGTATCATGCAGAATATGTGCTCTTTTTCTCAATAAGTAACTTTCTTTTTCACCACATTTTCCATCATAGAATACACGCGACACGCTGTCGCTTGGTTTGACGAGGTAATTCGCCGTTTTCTTCACTACCGGCGTATTGGGATATCCAAGGAAGCATTCCAAAAGCTAAGCAGAGTAATATGTATGGCAGTGAGTGCTAGACGGTCTTCTGATCAAAGATGAAGAGGAGACTTGAAAAAACAAACGTGGTTCTACAGAAGGATGCTGTGGACCGAACTTGTGAGCAATGAAGAAGTTTGTAAGAAAATGAAAACAACAAAAAAGCCAAGTAATACTTGGCATCAGGAAGAGACAGCTGAGGTTTCTGGCGCATACAATGAAGAAAGTCTTGGAAAATCTGATATTCGCAGGACGGATTGAAAGCAAGAGGGAGAGAGGAAAACAACACATAACCTACTTAGTGAGCTTGAGTAAATGGATGGTGGAACAGGGCCTAAGAGAAATGGCAGCTTGAGTTACAAGGGACAGGAAGTTGTGGAAAGCTATGATTGCCTATGCCAGAGGGGACATGGCACATGACTTGGTTATGGGTAGATGCTACAATGCTGAGTGAACCACTGAAACCATTCTGGTGTTTGTGAAATAGTTTGAGTTATGGCAAAGTTCTTTTGTCTACACAATGTCTACCCACTTATTTCGCTACCTGCATTGTCTTTCTCTCCCGCCTTGTTACTTAAAGGATAGTCATGAAGAGATCATATACCCGACAACCCACCCCGCCACTATGTCTTCACCAGAAATTAATTTTAATCACTTTTTATTTTTATTTTTTTATTTTTTTCAGACTGCTATTCATTTACCAAAAATCTGCTCTGAATCGTAAAATAAAAAATGCAATAAAACTGACATTATTTAATTAGGAAAGCTTTTATTAAGTACACTATTGTCTTGAGATTTTTTTTATAAATAAGGAATTTTTACAAGATTTTTTTTTTTTTTTTTTTTAATTTAAAAAGAAAATGAAAAAATATATTAAAATTATACATTACTTTAATTACATTAAGTGATATTGTTATCAAGTGAAAACTATATCTATTAATAAAAAAAATTTCGTACAAGATATTTTTTATTTTTGAAAGGTATGGCTTTATATTATCTATCCGAAAATAAGAGTGATGTCCATAGTAAATTGAAAGTTGACATTCCTAAAATTAGATAACAGGATATTTTCCAACATTTTTAAGATTAGTGACTACTTAAAAATTATAAAGGCGCTCACTTCATTTTCTTAAATTATATTTTACAGATAGTCTCCATAGAAAAACAATGTTAACACTCATCAGTTACATAAATAATGGTGACTGTCGGTTGAAAGCCCAACTACTGTTTTGTTTTAAAAATACATTTGTATTTAAAGTAAATCTGTTTCAAATTGGATTATTAATTATACTTTAAATCAGCTAATATTCCTCAAAGGAAGTTTGAGATATATATATATATATATATATATATATATATATATGTGTGTGTTTCATTAATATTTTATTTTTTTTTTTTTTTTTTTTTTTTTTTTTTTTGTCCCTTCAAGTCTTAAAGTAAGACTACAAGAACATCAGAAAGTGGTAGCATGAAGGGAAATAGAAAAATCAGCTAACCACATGGAAGGAAAAGGGAGATCAGTCCCCAGTGGGATCAGGTTGAAATAATACACTGCATCATTGAAAAATACAAAGCTTAAGGAATTGGCACATATGCTAGGCCACAAATCTTCTGAGCCGACCAAGCATAGAAATGAATACAATATGGGAACCGGTAATAAGGAGTGCTAGAGAAAAGTAATATAAGCTCTGGTAAAAAAAATGAAATAACAAAAAATTGCAATATGAGCACTGGTAAAAAAAAAAAAATGATGCTGAGATTAATGAGACATTAGGTTTATAAGTGCCAAAAAATCATACACAGATGGACACATGGCCCAGTGGATAAAGACATTGGTTAGATCCAGTGACTAGACCCAAAGAGTTGTGAGTTCAGTAGTGGTGAACCAAAAACTTGGAGAAATAACCGAGACATCTGGATGGGGAAAATCATGGGTGAAATAAAGGGTTTGGTTCGAAATTCCAATCATCCGAAACGTAAATATGGCAATGAAGATGAGGATAAGTCTGAATAATGTCTATTACTAGTAAAATTAAACAAAAATGGCATGGCACGAACTGTATGAGGAAGATAGAACTTGTCTCCTGCAGTTTAGTAAAGCGCTACCAGACAGGTATACCCAAACATGCATGCAAGGACAGGAGATGGCATTCTTTAATGGTGAAACTACTTTACCACTGAGATATTATTTTTTTTTTTTTCTTATATGAAAATCCTTTTTGTTCCATTGTCATCGGATCTGATAATTCATCATGTACAATATGGCTGGTTTGTGTCATTTGAATAAGAATGATTAGCTAGCTCTCTCCTTTCTTAGGCACAATGGAGTAATGAATAGTGGCTTGGATTGAGGATCTCAGGCCATTACATTCACTTACATGCTAATATCCTTGGAAAAGTATGAATCCTCTTCTCCTGTTAATTG